GGTTTTTTACCAAAAAAAAAAAAAAAAAGAATCAACCGAAGCACTAAAAAGGGATGACACGAGCTGAAAACAAGAATCATAAGGACGAGCCCGTTGAAGCAAATGCACCCTACTAATTTTCTCCTTTTCATCGGGCTTTTTTTTTCCCTTCCTAGTTAAAAATAGACGCCCTTCCAGAAGAAAATAGAAAAAGAATAAAAAATGAGGCACGCATACCAATGAGCACGTTTCATAACTGTGTCTCTGTGACAAAGCTAAACCCCCGTAAAGCTTCCGTTTGCTCTTAGTGGGTTCTTGCCGTTGCTGATTTCGGAGTTGGCTGAACTCAGGATTATATCAACTTTTCAGCGTGCTTTCGTTCCTGTTCTACATTTCTGGCCTTCTGGTTAATGCTAAGTAAATAATAATAGACACAAGAAAGGGAGCCGATTTTACCGGAGGATTGTGCAAATGTGTATGAAAAATGTTTTCTGGCCCCCTTTTAAATAACAACAAAATATATCTTGTTCTAAAAGACAGAAAGATGACTCGAGGTATCTCCCATTCAGTTCAATGCAAATTTTCCTATTGACTTTATTTATCAGGTTCGGGTCCCGCCATCGCTGAGAAAAGACAAGAGAAGTAGGAAATTAGGACTTTCTAATTTATTCTTATCAGCTCGAAGCATTCCCAATTAAGGCAAATCGTTTAGCTTAAGCCTTTCCTTCATTATTCTCCCTGCCCTGCGGTATTTGCTCATGTACATCTGCCAGCAGGATCTCAATGAAAATGGAAAATATGACAGAAAGCTACAAAATATTTTCCTGCCAAGGTGACGTAAACGATCGTGCCTAGCGTTGCTCACGTGACAGCTGAAACCTAGGGCAATATGGATACCCTGCTAGTTTCTAAAAGTGCAGTCAGGCGCGTTGAAGTCCTTTGCTAAACTTGCTGTGGCCGGGGAGCCGGAGGAGGCTGTGCCTGCGGAGCCGGAATGCCGCCGTGCTCACGCTCCGCGCGGCGGAGAGAAACGCTAACGTTGGTCTCCTGCAAGTGGCAGCGAACCGGGGACCCGTCAAACATATGATCTTGAGGGACTCAGTCGATAATGAAATGAACACACGCATCCGCTCCCACTGAAACTTCCTCGAAGAAGAAGAAACATTTCCATGGTTAACGTGGGAAACAAACGGAATCCCCCCTCTCCTTCGAGTAACAGCTAGCCTAACTCTCCAGTTCTGTGGGATAGCCGTGTTTTAGGCATACATCCACGCTAGAGCTTTTTGCATTTAAATAATACAGCATATTTCAGCTCGGCTCCGCAGTTGGCTGGGGAGGCGGGGGTGCGCGGGGGGGGGTGATATTTCCAAAATCGAAAGGGAAGCCGCTTGCTCTCCTGCTCAGAAACTTTATTATAAACGGCGGAGTTGTGCAGCTCGGGGCAGCGGCAGCGCGGGGCGCGCA